ACGTTCCGAGGCCGCAATCGGAGGTGGATAGCCGCCCAGAAGGACCGCGGGACGGTAACCTCGTTTCCCCTCGACAACGACCCTCTAACAGAGTAGTCGTGGGAATGGGCACATTCCCAGCAGGTAGTTAGAGCGTTGGCTGTATCCAAGCCCTCTCCTTGCTGTCGTAAGTTCGAATTCCATCGAGGTTGCCAAGCTGATCGCATCTGGGTCAAATAAAATTGTTTTGCAGCGAATAGATTTTTCCCGTGCGCTGCAGATCGACTTGTTTACTGTGCTAATCGTTTTTTCCCTTTGCGTCTTTCAGCAACGGGATCTGAAACAGTACCTTCACGACTGCCAGGGTTTCATGCATCCGGAGAATGTGCGACTCTTCCTCTATCAACTCCTGCGTGGTCTTGCCTTTTGTCACCAGCGGCGAATTCTGCACCGTGATCTCAAACCGCAGAACCTCCTGATCAACGAACGCGGCGACTTGAAGTTGGCCGATTTTGGTCTGGCTCGCGCCAAGTCTATCCCCATCAAAACCTACTCCAACGAAGTGGTCACTCTTTGGTGAGTTGGCTGATGTTTTTCTCGTTTACGTGTTCTGTCTAAAAAGTGCTGCTCTGATCCTCAAGGGTGCCGGAGTATGATTCACCCATTCGGCAGATGTGTCATGCAGTCAAATCCATAGCAGTGCAAGTAGCCTTACTATATTAGTCAACATTTAGCCATCACTTAAATTAGTTTTTACATCGTTGACTGCTTGCTGTTGACTTTGAATCATTTCAATCCTCGTCTAGATCCATTTCAAATAGTCAGTGATCAATCTAAATTAATTTTAACCGATAAACTACTATTTAAACCTGTTAACAGAACTATTGCTAATACAGTGCACCAGACGTCGCTGAAATCAGTCGAAGCTGATGCTTTCCAAAAAATTCTTCTACGTTCCAGTAAAAGGTTCGTCGTCCTGGTCACTCAGAGATGCTCGCATCTTAAAGGATTTTCCTGACCATGAGTTACCTCCTACATCTTGGCATAAGGACTTAAAAATACGTCGGAGCAAGTGATTTGTGTACGGAAGCCTCATCAGTTCGACAAGAATTCCTGTAGATTTTTGTGTCTTGTTAGGGGTTAGGCAGATTTCAGTAATTCGATTGACCTAGCCAAGGTTAG